CCCCCCCCCCCCCCCCCCCCCCCCTTTTTTTTTTTTTTTTTTTTTTTTACTGCTTTGGTGAGAGAGAGAGAAAGAGAGAAGACTGAGTACGTAAAGTTTGGGAGGGACCGACTCCCGCCTCAACAAAATTTCCTTTTTTTTTTCTTTTTCCTTTTTGTGGCAACATTTGAAAATAAGCATTCCTAATTATTTTCTGCCTGATTCTCTTTTTTGTTCTCTCATTTTGACCAACACCTAAATTTTTCACTGCGTTTCTCGGGGGATGTACTTCCATTTATTTCTCTGTAAAATTCTTTTCTCCGTTGTTGAAGTTACCCTTGGCACTCACTTTTACCCCCATTTTGGTAAGAATTAATTCCACATTCAAAAAATTATTATTATTAATATCTATTAATAACATCTCGACTTCACAACCACATTCTTCAACCTCCTACTTCATTAAACCATATAATTCTTACTCGTAATTATTTGCACGTAAGTCAACAAATTAGGTCACATAAATATCAATTTCAAATGGTTACTCTTAAATTTGTAATTTGTTTAGACAAGTTAGATTAGCCAATATAGTTTTAGAATTGAAAAGTTGGAATTTCAAAACTTTTTATGATGCATGTATGTGAATGAATTGTTGTGTTTTCTTTGTAAAAAAAGAAAAAGAGTAATTTAGTTTAATTAAATGTTTAAACTATGATAAATGATTTAAAAACGGAGTAGTAGATAAAAATAAAAATAAACATAAAGCAACTAGAATTCGTTCGTAAACTATGCACTAAGTCAATAAAATTAAATGTAGACTCCAATTATGAACACTCCCATCCTTAATTTCCAACAAAATGTTCACATTTAACTAACAATCTAGAAGGGACAAAGGTCCACGTGACTGAATTAATAGAAAATGGCAATGTATTAGGTCACGATTCCATGATCAACGCCCCCATCTTATTCGGAATCAAAATATTATGCCTAAGTTTGGTAAAAGTATCAAAATATTATATACTTTCGAGTTTATTTCAATCTAATTCTTATATTTTAAAATATTACATTTTAATTTTCAATATTTGCTGTTAGAAAAACGGAGTGAAATATTTTAAGGACGCGTTTGAATAGAATGGCGACGTGGAGGAGTAAGGAAATAAAAGTAAGGAAGTTAATGGTCAAACCAAACGAAGCCGTGTTGTGGGTGATGTGGTAGGCTTCGCTTCGATCACCACGTGGGTGCAAAACACGCTGTCAATGCCACGGAAAACCTGGGGACCACTCCACCTCCATGAAAAATTCCCTTTGCTAAAAACGCTTAAAACATGTTCCCATCCACGTCACCCCCTGTTCTCTTTTATTCTTTCTATTTGCGTCTAATCTAATTACACCATTTCTTATTTACGAAACAAAATTCAAATTTTTATGCCATTTTAAATGCAATGAGTATTAAGCTAGGAATTTATGATCTGAAATCTCTTCATTAATAATAATTTATTTTTATTATTTTAGTCAAAATTTAACGTACGAAAATTTTAAAGTTACACATGAAATAATTACGTTTAAGAAATAACTTACAAATATGTATTATAATATGATTTATTTTACAATCAATCTTGTAACTGTTACCGGTATGAAAACATGTAAGTAGGGTATATATTTAAATCTATTAATGGAGAAAAACTAATATTTTACGGGATAATCATATGTGATTCAATCCTTAAAGATTTGAATGTATAGATATGGCGACTTTTCGATTTTTTTATACATAATCAAATTAATATATAAGAGAAACTACATCTCAAATTAACCATTTTATTTATTTAAAAATATTTGAACGTTATCCACTAAACCATAAACTTCTTCGAGTAATTAGTATGGGGTTAGTTTTATTATATTATTAAGTTTGAGATTAAATTGTTATTTTTTATATAAATAGTCAATTTAATTTTTATTATTAAAATTTGTAATGAATAAATCTATGTCTTCACGTTGGAATGTATGGGTTTATATATTCTTTTGATTCAAATGGGTTTATGTTTTCAAACCACGAGCATCAATTCAATACATAGTTTAATAAAATGTGTTATGTTTAAAAAAAAAATTAATAGTGTGGTTCAGAATTTTGGTCAACTACTGTATCTCCCCCGGAGATCAAAGGCTAATAAAAAAAATATATATTTAAAAAGGGCTCACTTCCATTTTCATTCTCTTATAATCTATATTCTTTTAGTTTTATTATTTATATTTATTCTAATTTAATTATTTATGTCATAAGGAAATGTCAGTGTCATCGGCTGCCAAATTCGACTCATGAGTGTGTGTTGTTATGTAGTTGCTCATAGTTATAATTGGGTAGAAAATCCATTTTATCCGATCCTATACCTTAAAGTATTCTTTGAGCTTTCCCTTGTAACGTTGTATACTTGAAAGAGGTTGGGCTGGACCCAAAACATGGGTGAGCTTGGGGTTTGAGAGGATTGGTGGGAAGTCGGGTGTTCCTCATTCCACACCCTGGTTTATATTTATCATTCATGTCGGTAAAGCATTCGTCCCCATAAGACTTGGTCGAGAGAACTGTGGTGGACCGTAAGGGTAGGTCCTTGTTGGCCTTGGGCAGCCTCTAGTCAGCCTCAACCCAATAATGGTGTTTATCCCTTTGTGTGGCTCGCTTTTAGGTAGATTTCAGTGTCGTCTAGATTTGGGTCATTTTTATTCACAACCCTTTTCTAAGTGGCCCCCTCCCTTTACATTTCACGATGCATAGACCAATTTTTTCTTTTTTATAAAAAAAAACTACCATTTCTGAAATATTTGGGGGTTGAGGAGGGTGAAAACATGATGGTCCAATGAATTCCGACAACTAAAACACGTGGTCCACCCTATCTTTTCAACACTTTCTCAAAAAAAAAAAANTTTCAACACTTTTTCAAAAAAAAAAAAAGAGAGAGAGAGAGAGAGTCAATGTGGTGGTGATTTAATGGCGAGATGAGTGCGCTTTGGAAGCCATTCTTTTGCACCAATAAAATCGAGAGACACAAAGGGGTTGGCTTCAGACTCAGTGAGTTCTCTAGACCATGAAACTCGTCCTCCATAATCTGCTCCTGGTCCTGAGCATCTGTATTGCCCATAAAATACAGTCCTACATCCGCATACACCTCATCATTATGTTTTTTTTTTTTAATAAATAATTAATTAAGAGAGAAAAAAAAAAAAAAGACTTACAATTCGAGGTTTTTGTCGCCCCAGTTGTACCAACCAGTGGGAGTGATGATTTTATCCATGAAGGTATAAGCAAACACCACACGGGAGAAGCTGCCCCAGGCCCGCCCCAAATACAGAGCCCCCGACCCGGAAACCTTACAGTTGAGGAACGAAAACCCCGTTTCCTCCAGCAGGCTGTTCCTCTTCTGGGCGGTCAGAGCGCCGTAGCTGTCCGTGATGGCGTGCAAATGGCACCCCTCGTAGATGGACAGCCCGTCCCCGAACACGAAATCCACCGACCCCTCGATATAGCAGTCCTTGAAGTAGTGCCGCCCCAAGTGGTCGTACAGCGTGTCCTGCGCACCGATAAACCTGCAGCTTATGAACGCAGCCGCATCTCCCGTTATTCTGAAAGCCACCGCTTGCTTCCCCAACGCCCCCGACGGCGGCGCCCGCGCCTTGTTCTGTTTTATTTTTTAAAAAATATTCAATTATTGCGTGCGAAATAAATAAAAAAAAATACATAAGTACAAAAAGTGGAATACTTACAATTCCGTATTAATTGTGATAATAAATTTAAAAATTGATACCGACCATTATGACATTTTAAATTGTAGTCTCCATATGCTTCCAAGAACTACATGTCAGTCCAGTCATCGGAAGTCACAAGCAAATTACCATTTACATACGACACTCCTATTTTATTCCCTCTTAAATTTAGAATATAAACAAAAGTATTGAATATATATATTTAGAGGGTAAAAAAGTAACCTTGAAGGTGATGTTCCTAGCAATGAAGAAGGGTGAATTAACAGCAAAAGTTGCAGAACCAAAAGTGCCGATCGGACGGCCGTTGTCACCCATATGGTCCGCCGTGTCGCTCCATTCAATGATCGTCTTCTCCGCCCCTTCTCCCTCCACCCATATGTAACTCATCATCGCCGGAATCTCAACCTTCTCCCTAATAAAACATGGAACAAACACCCATACATATCCTTCAAATACTCGCATCTCTAACTTTTTATTCTAATTCCATATTTTTTTAATTTAATAAATGCATTTGTATTCAAAAATTATATATACAATTAATTTAGACGGACTCTTGAAATTTGATATTAAAAGATTCTAATTTTAGCATATGTTTTTGAGCTAAAAAGTGTTTTGTAGTCGATCGAAAACAATTTTCAATTTTTTTAGTACGACAATGATGTATTTAGATTTTTATGTTTGTGTCTAATAAAATTTTTTTAAAATTTTGATTTTATATCTTATAAAAAAAATGTCGACAATGATTTATTAAATTACACTTTTTGAAACCAATTAAATATAAATGGGAAAGTTTATGATTTTTTGAACAAAAGAAATAGTATATATATTAAAAATGAGTAAAATGAAAGTGACCTGTAGATTCCGGCGGCGACATGGATGACGACCCGGCACCGGTTGATGAGGGGCAGAGAGTTGATAGCTTTCTGCACCGACCGGAATCCCCCAGCCTTAGGCTTCTTGGAAACCCTGAGCGTCAAACAAGGCTTGAACTTGTTCTTGGTGTTTTGAAAAAGAGAGTGCTTGAAAGAACCCATATGTCTAATCCACTTCAAGTACTCATCTTCAACTTTTCTCATTCTCCCGCCGCCAACCGTCCAGTTTTGGCCGTGAGAAACGGCGGCGCCCGACAGCAGCATCATCACCACCAGAACAAAAAAATTCAGCATCCTCATCTTGTCGACTGCAACTGCAATTGCAATGTAGATAAGTGTTTGAGAGGAACCAGAGGTTTAAAAGGAGATTGAAAAATAGAGAAAAAAGAGAGAGAGAGAGACCAACATCGGGGGAATCTTGCAGCTGTGTGTCTGTATTCAAATTGTCTGTATTGCCATTAACAGCCATGAAAATTTTTTAGACCCATATGTGAGTTTTGTGTTTAAATGGTATTTTTCATTGTCTTTTCCTTGGAAGTTAGAGCCTTTGAATTCCAATAGATATGTGTTGTTTTTTGTTCTTCATTTTGTGGCCGACAACTATTGGTGGAAGCAGTTATAATCGGTTCATTGTTTAATATAAGACTCTTATAGTGTGACCATTTAATGTATGTCTATCAATGAGTAGTTAATTAGATATAAAAAAAAATGAAGCATTTTTACAATTTCATTAAACATTACAAGCTGTCAATCGCATAATTTCATTCCACAATATGATGGACAAAAAATATTAAGAGTGTGACAGTGTTTTCACGAAGTTTATAATAAGGCCTCAGATTGAAAATGTGGAGAAGGAAAGGGAAAATTAACTTTTTCTTAATTTTGGAGAAGTGGGTTTTTTAGAAGATGACAAAGTTCATCCTCATCATGGGACAATAGAACCATAAGAGTGATGGGCAAAAAAGAAGATAATGTTTGGTTTGATAAATATTTCCTTTATGTTTTTTTTTCCTTAAATTACACATCTATCTTAATTTAGAGCACATTTTATCCCGACCCTTTAGATTTGATCTCAATTTGATAACTCTATACTTGCTCGATTAAACGTCTACGATAAAGACACATGATACGTGACACGTTATTTGAAATTTGAATATGCAATAAATAATGAGGTGAGTGGGTATTGGGTTTGTTAATAAATTGAAGAAGGTTAAGGATCTGAATGGGGAATAGAAGGCAGAGAGATGAGAGAAGAAGAGGAAGGTGGTGGGCCAAAAAATTAATCACAGTGCATGTGACTCTCAGAAGATATCATTTTCAATGTTATAACCAAATGATCAAACCATATTGTGTTTTTGTTTCATTCTCTCCTCTGTATTTGGACCATTTGTTGTTTCTTAAGTCCTTCTCATCCATTGCAGCAAGACAGCCACCAAGCATTGAAGCAAGTGTGGTGGATGATGATATGAGATATGTTGGGGAAAGAAAACGTTGTAAAAAATGTGTGTTAAGAATGATCATAATGAAACAAGCATGTGATGGATGTGTGTTAACAAAAGTGGAGGCAGATGGCAACATCAAACTCCTTCACTACTACTCTCTCTATTTGGTGCCATTATTTCATGTCATGCTATCACAACACCTTGGTTTTAACTTCAACTTTGGTAATTAATGTAACGTAATAAAGGAGTAGATATGGGCCTCAAGTTTTGCATGCAATGTGAAGAAAGAACAACAAAACATGACCCATAAACAAAAGGGTGGAAGTTCATAGATTGGGGCCATTTAAACCCAGTGGGAGAAAAGAAAAGTAAGAGCATGCGCAAATGTAAGCCAGCTATATATTAACAAAAAGCTGAAAACGACACCTTAACCTTTTACTTCAATCCAACAAACGTCATTTTTAATTCGATCTCTTCAACCAATATGAAATCTCACAATTCATCCCTCTTTAAGTAAGCATCCTTGTTCGCACATCGCCTTGTGTCCACCTCCTTTTGGGGCTCAACTTCCTTGCTCGCACATTATCGAGTGTTTCGGTCTAATACCATTTGTAATTGTCTAAGTCTAAGTTAGTATAGAGAATGTAATTCTAAAAATAAAAAATAATACTTTTTGTTTTTGTTTTTTTTTTTTTAAGTCAAGGAAAAGAAAATCTAATCTAACGGTAAACATATTAATGTAAAGATAAATATTAATTATACAAAATTTTACAATTATTAATTTATACACTTAATTGTTTTTTTTTCTTCAGAAAATAATGGAAAATGGAAAATTGGCATACGCTAATTTTCAAAATATAATATTAGCCCTTAAATTTTAAAGATTATTTAAAAATAAAATAAAAATATAAATTAAGAAATTAAAATAATAATCACAGCAAATTTTAAAAGATTAAGTTAAGTAAAAACTATATTTCAATTAGAGAGTGGTCCTGTTTATTTATTACAAAATTAAATTAAAGGTTTGAAAATGGAAGGATGATTTTAATTAAATGGGTGAAAAATAAGGTCTAATTTGAATGAACTCAATTTTGACACATCCCCGTTTCATTTAATATTTAATAATTTGAAAATTCCACGTCATAAAGTCAAAATTATTCCATTCATTTGTTGTGTCACGCTACTTACCTTAGGATTAATTTTATCGTATCAACTTTGAAACAATAAAATTCTGTTTTTAAACAATGACTCCAATTTATCTAAGTTTAGAAACCGAGATTTGTTACATCAAATAATAGGTATCTTAGTCACCATCAATGCCTAAATAAAATATAAAATTTAAGTAATTATATGATCATCCTATTAATATATTTATATTTTCTTCCATGGTCCTAAGAATAATATTAAATTAAGTATATCTAAAGTTGAATCTTATTTAATTGTACTATATATAGTATTAGATTCTCATATCTTTATATTAAAGATATTCAATAACAACAAAGTTGTAGTTTGTGTTTTAATAGCAATTTAAACAATAGTTTAAAATAATATTTATGAATATGTATTTTCATTAAATACGATATTTATAATTTTTAAACATTAAAATAATTTGTATTTGGAAGTTTCATTTGTCAATTTATGTGAAATCTTTTTTGTCCAAGCGCCAAAGAAAAGAAGCAAATTTGAAAGCTACGGAAAATATGAAACATTATTTCAATTAATGGCAATCATCAGCGAAGTTTCACAATTTATGGATTTTCAAAATAAATAAAAAAAAAAAAGTCATAAAATAATAAATCATTTTTCTTGTAAATAAACTATAACCAATGAAAGATGTAAAAACTGATTAAATGCGTATTAAATACTAAACACGACCGGAGTGGGATGTCTTTGGTTGAAAGGATTAAACCGCGTGGCAGTGTGACATAAAGAAAACAGAACAATTTTGCACAGCCAAAAAAAGATGGAAGTAAAAAAACGACACGTGGCAAAAGAGTGACCGTAAGATGAGGATGGGAAATTAGTAGATGATGGATGATCTCCACTTGCAGAGAGATCCCGGAAACTGTAACACCAAGTGGCATAGAAAGAGAGAATAAGAGAGAGAAAAGGTAATCAATCATGTCTGCGACTGCAACATAATCAGAGCATAGAGAAAGGGAAAGGGCTCAGAGAAGAAAAACAGCAACAGCAACAGCAAGAGGAGGAAGAAGCAGCAGCAGCAGCATATGAGTGGATATGGGACTTTTGTGGTGTATTTAAGTTAGCACTTCGCCCCTTCCCCCCACTGCGCAACAAAGCTCATGGCGGCGTTGCAGACTTCACTTCAGTTTTAGACAGAGAGAGAAAAATACCCTTTAATGTATTAGAGAGACAGAGAGACAGAGAGAGACAGAGAGATTTCAGAATCTGATTCCCAATTCGACCTCTTTTCTACCTTCCCCCCTTTTTTTTTTCTCTTGTAGTACGAAGAATTTGATTAAGAATTTCGAGAATTTGAGAAGGTAAGGAGAAAAAGTTGGAAAGGAATTGATTGATACATACCCTTTTTACAACTCTGGCTTTCGATCGCTCTTGAGAGGTTGTTTCTGATATGGATTTTAATTCCAAATCAGGAATAGTATCTCCGGTGGAAATATGGCCGGTTTTTTCCCACTAGGCGGCGGAAGAGAACCCAATTATCACCTTCCCACCACCACCACCACCACCACGGACGGATTATTTTGGTACAGAAATTATGAGAGCCTTGGAATTTGGCAGCAACAGCAGGTGCAGCAGCAAGCGGGAGAAGGGTTTGTTTACTCGGGCGATGAATCGCCTCCAAGATCGTCGTTGGTGATGCTGAGATCCGGCAGAAACGGGGGAGGGCAAGTAATAAGCTGCCAAGATTGTGGAAATCAAGCCAAAAAGGATTGCCTTCACATGCGATGTAGAACTTGCTGTAAAAGTCGTGGCTTTGACTGTGAAACCCACGTCAAAAGTACTTGGGTTCCGGCCTCCAAACGCCGTGAGCGACACCTCCGCAGCGACGGCACTAATCTCAAACGACCTCGAGACAACACCGCCGCTTCCTCAGGTACAATCAAATTAATTCTTGCTGTTTTCATTTTTTTTATATTTTATTTTATTTTTAGATTTCTTGTGAGGGAGGGCTTTGTTTTGGAAGTTTTTCCAAATTCCAGCAAGACCCACATCGATTTTGGTCATGATTGACAGAATCAATCTCTCTCTTTCTCTAAAATGGTCTCTTTTTTTTCTTTTTTCTCTTTTTAAAATTTTGGTTTTAGGGTTAGAAATGAGGAATTTTCCGGTGGAAGTGAGCTCAACGGCGGTGTTTCGGTGCGTGCGAATGACAACGTTGGACGAAACCAACGACCAATTTGCTTACCAAACAGCCGTCAACATCGGAGGCCATACCTTCAAGGGCATTCTTTACGACCACGGCCCTGAACAACAACAACAACCACCACCACCACCACCCAACTCCGCCTCCCCCGACGGTGGCGCCCTCCTCATCACCGCCCCCTCCACCACCATGGAATTGCCACCCATCAGCGCCGCATTGCTCGATCCTCCTCCGCCGTACCCAGCTCCTCTGAACACCTACGTCGCCGCCGGTACGCAATTTTTTCTTCCCCCAACGTCTTAATGTCGTAATGAATTTTATGAGATCGAAGAGAATTAGCTGAAATTGAGAACGGAGAATGAGGGAAGTATGTGGCACGAGTATATAATTTTTTTTATCATAAATTTATAAGCTTTTAATTTTTCAAGAGTTCGCATTAATGTGCCGCCATTGTTGGAACTTCGATGCTCCCTTTTATCCTTTTTTTTTTTTTTTTTCTTTTTCCTTTCTTCTCGGTTTCGTATTTGGTAATTCTCAACCCCCTCAACCCCTTTTATTTTTAATTAATTATATGATTTCAATCTATTTTGATTGGTTATTTAATGTTTTATACCTATGTTTTAAATGAAATTTTGAATTTTAAAATTTAAATTACAAGTTTCAAAGGACAGATTATTAAAACGAGGAAATTATTCTATGTTTTTTTTATATAAAAATAATGTGAACAGCATGTCAATCAATCACAATTAATGTATTTAGTGAATGAAAAATGTGAAATGCTGTAGCTAGACAACTATGAATGTGACAATTTCATTTTTTTTTTACCAAAAAGAAAAAGAAAATTAATAGCTGTTATTTCAATAATTCGAAAATTTTATTCACACCCTCTCTTTCTCTCCTATGCATCACTTTCATACACATTGTCACTCTAGTCATTTTTAATATGCATTACATTTATGTTATGTACTTAGAACATGCATCATTTTCATACAATCAAATATTATATGCATGAAGTCTTATTAGTATATATAACATACGTATATATTTTCATTTTTACCACATACCATATATGTCATTATATTCAAACAATCGTATAAACATTTCGAAAAGCACCCAACCTAGCCCTAAGACTTTCTAGCAATAGATTTTCGACAATGAAATTAATTTTCCTTTAGCATACGGAAGCTTTGGTTCTATTGTAAATCACAATTTTAAATTAATTAGAATATTTAGGACGGGCGATTTAAAGAGTTTACCCGAACTCCATTAACAATATAAACTCTTAAAGAACAAAGGAAAACTTTTTAAGAACAAAAAGTTTTAACCTTGAAAACGTAAAAGTCTTCTTGATTCTTTTACATTTTTTTCTTAACGGGTTAAGTATTAAAAATACCAAGAATCCACTATTTGAATTGAGATATGCAATCGCATGCAACTATGACTTATGCTAAAACAATTAAAGTAAGACATTCTTTAGATGTGCATCACTCTCACACCGGCAATCATAACTCATGTAACTATGACTACAAAAGAGTGCATAGTTGCAACATATTTAAGGTGATGGAGAAAGAATAAATCGAGAGGGAAAAAGAGTTAGAGCGAGAGAGACTTAGAGAGTTAGTGATTAACGGAGCTAAGATCTAACGACCCTACTTCTAGGATAAGACTCGCGGAAGGATTTAAAAGAAAAAAACCCGTAACTTTAATTTTTTCTTTAATCTATAAAATTCTTGGTCAAACCTTGAATCAACTATTTTTAAGCCCAATTTTTTTTTTTTTTAAAAAAGAAGTCGCATGAGCACAATTAACTTAATTGACCAAAACATCTCAAAAGAGGATTGAGCCCAAAATTCAAAAGAAAAATAATCTAAAAATTAATCTCATTTTATTATTTTGACGGAAGAATTTAAGTAATTGATTAATTTGTTAAGAAGTAAAATGATAAACAAATGAATATAGTCCACCCAAAATGAATCACTAAGAACCTAATTTATTATACCATCTTTAGCAAACCAATAAAAAATATGGAAAAATATAGAAATAAATTACAAAATGAGATGAACGAATAAACTTTAATTCATCTGTAATGTTTTATATATTTTTTTAACACAAAATCGAAAAACTAAAACGAAAAGAAAAAAAAAAAATGAAGGTATGAAATAGAGTAGCAGAAAAGAATGATGCAGGGAAGTGAAGAAAGACGAACCTGCATTGACATTGGAACGACATGGAGGGTAAGACTTGAGTTGATGAAGAGATCAAAACAACCGGTGTTTGACGGTAGCAG